CATCACGTTTGAGCTTCAGCGAGAACCAATGAGGTTCATTCTCGTGTTACGCATCACGTTTGAGCTTCAACAAGAGCCAATGAGGTTCATTCTCGTGTTACGCGGCACATCTGAGCTTCAGTAAGAACCAATGAGGTTAATTCTCGTGTTACGCATCACGTTTGAGCTTCAGCAAGAGCCAATGAGGTTCATTCTCGTGTTACGCAGCACGTTTGAGCTTCAGCAAGAACCAATGAGGTTCATTCTCGTGTTACGCAGCACGTTTGAGCTTCAGCGAGAACCAATGAGGTTCGTTCTCGTGTTACGCATCACGTTTGAGCTTCAGCAAGAGCCAATGAGGTTCATTCTCGTGTTACGCAGCACGTTTGAGCTTCTGCAAGAACCAATGAGGTTCATTCTCGTGTTACGCATCACGTTTGAGCTTCAGCAAGAGCCAATGAGGTTCATTCTCGTGTTACGCAGCACGTTTGAGCTTCAGCAAGAACCAATGAGGTTCATTCTCGTGTTACGCAGCACGTTTGAGCTTCAGCGAGAACCAATGAGGTTCGTTCTCGTGTTACGCATCACGTTTGAGCTTCAGCAAGAGCCAATGAGGTTCATTCTCGTGTTACGCAGCACGTTTGAGCTTCAGCGAGAACCAATGAGGTTCATTCTCGTGTTACGCATCACGTTTGAGCTTCAGCGAGAACCAATGAGGTTAATTCTCGTGTTACGCATCACGTTTGAGCTTCAGCAAGAGCCAATGAGGTTCATTCTCGTGTTACGCATCACGTTTGAGCTTCAGCAAGAGCCAATGAGGTTCATTCTCGTGTTACGCAGCACGTTTGAGCTTCAGCAAGAGCCAATGAGGTTCATTCTCGTGTTACGCAGCACGTTTGAGCTTCTGCAAGAACCAATGAGGTCAGGGGCGGACTGGCCATCTGTGTGATCTGGAGTATCACAGAACGGCCGGTACTCCAGGACGGCCGGCGGGCCGGCCCACCACCCGCCACACACGCAGTCATAACCTGTTTTTTCCCCCCACTAATCTGTTTCACACTCCAGTACTGTAGGTGGCAGCAATGCACCTTTAAGTTGGATGCCAGCGCGGAGCATTATCAGCTCGGCCCAAAAAAACTGCGATCGCGGCCGAAGCAGCTGTGCGGACTGATCTCGATCACGCGAACATTATTACACAGAGTTGCGCGATCCACTGAGAAGCATTTCAATTCAGCGCAGAATTCTCTATCTCTATTATAAACCCACAGATGGCTGTGATTTAAGCTAGTTAAAAGCCAGATTAAACAGCGCTGATATTCTCAACATCTTGACGCAAAAAAACAGGTGAAACATTGTTCCAAGAACAAACCAGTTAGAAGACATTTCACTCCACAACTTATGAATTAACTGTAACTTAGTAAAACAAACTTTTTTGGCAGAAATGTGCCTGTATTCATATTAAAAATGCTGTTATATTAATAGTCATGTAGGTCTATAAATGTAGGCTATTAAATGTAATGCAGTAATGTTTTTGTTTAGAAGTTATGGCAGTTTATTTATTTATTTTGCATTAAATATTTATACTAAATGTTTATGCTACAATAGGTTTTTAGAGAATAATATATATATATATATATATAACAAATTTTTCAGGAATTGTTGAACCAGAATATCAAGATATTTTATTATTTCGCATATGATGGTGAAAAATAAAAAAGTTAAAGTTAAAAGTAAAGGTAAAGGTAAGGTAAAAAACACCACCATGTTATATGTATAATAAATATTTTTGAGTATAGCCCTTCTAGATTATTTTATCCCTTGAGGTAGCCCTCACACACAAAAAGGTTGGAGACCCCTGGTATATAGTAACTAAATGTTTTATAATTACAAGTTTGTGTAATTAGGGTTTCTGTAGCCAGTGACATTTCATTATTTGTATTTTATTTTCAATGCAGATGTAATGGCATTGTACATTTTGTTGTTTTTATTTGAAGACTGAGGCTTCATTAATAAACAAAACCCCAATTGTCATCATTGTTTTTGAGATATTACTTGCTGTGAATACCTTGTCTGATATAGGTTACAGTATTGTGGCATAGTATCAGGACATCCTAGTGGCTAGGGGCGAATGGCTGGATGATGGGCCTATTTGGGAGAAAGTCCAGGGCTGTTTTTTAGCCCCAGTCCGTCCCTGAATGAGGTTCATTCTCGTGTTACGCAGCACGTTTGAGCTTCTGCAAGAACCAATGAGGTTTGTTCTTGCGGGTCAAGCAGGTTCGGTTGCGCTTTTGTTTATGTTCGCTGATCAATGTTTAAAATGTTTTCATCAAAAAGATCTTCATTCCAAAAGTTTGGAACGACATGAGGGTGAGTAATTAATGACACAATTTTTGGGTGAACTATCCCTTTAAGATGTGTCACACTGGGAATTTTGGAAATGTAAGTTTACACTGTACACGGTTTTCACTGTAAATTCATTAATTAACTTTAATCAGTTAACAGGTTTTTACTGTAGCATTTTTACAGTTTACATTGTATGCAATTTTCTCAAACCGACCAACCTGTCACTTGGTCATATGATTAGTGTGGGGGAAGAAGTGTCCCACACACATGCTGGCATAAGAAGTGTCTGTTCTGTGACTCAAAAGGGACAGTGTTGCAGGACAACAAACTGCTGGGCATGATGCCAATTGCACACGCACAACCACACACACACACACACACACACACACACACACACACACACACACACACACACACACAGACGCAGCAGTAGTTAAGGTCAGGTTTTTCTCAAGGCAAAACAGTAGAGTGAGCAGAGGCTTGGAAAAACTGCAGAAGAATGCACATTTGTGTACAAAGAAAAAAATGTTGACCTAGTCATTTAGGTCACAACACAATGTAACTCAAGGCGGGCCCTTTTATACAGCTGACTGCACAGAGTCCCTCAAACTTCATTGTAGAGTAAATCACCTCTTATACCATAAACAAAAGACTCCTAAAACATGAGAGGCTCATTTACCTTCAATAGAATCAATCACTCACTGCTTGAGATTAAAGAGAGTGAATGTATGAGTGCAAAAAGCCAGAAGAACAGCTTATAAGTTTGTGAATGATCTGCCATAAAACTTACTATAATGCAAGAGTTTCACAAACTGGGGTTTATTACAGAGCAAAACGTTTTACATTCACTCATAATCTTGGGTAATTATAGTTTGAAAAAAAAGAGAAAATTCTTAGGAAACACTCATGAGTTGAAGCTCAATGAATCACTTGCATCACATCCAGAGAGTGCAACATAGACTTGATCATCTAGGCTGCTTATATATTTTACAGGGATTTTTGATTGTTTGATGTCAAAGGAATGGTTGTCCTCACCACATCTCCTGCCCACAAGCCAGTTTGGTTGTAGACGGTCACTGAGATGAGAAGAGACGATAACCTCCCCTGAGTTTGCTGGCTTCCACTTCAAAAGGAGGAGAGACAGACAAGGACAACCACAAGTATAACAAGGACTGGAACTGGATACTGTGGCATGAACTGAATTTTTTAAATGATGTGTCATGAATAAGGAGACTGAAACAGTAAATCGTTGAAAGGGAAAGAACACTGTTGTCAGGCGATTTGAAGGATCATGGGAAGGCAGCCTTCGGTTCACGTCTTTAATTCAGCTTATTTTAAAGGATGCATTAAGTGTATCCTCGACAGCCTCCAATCACCCACAATCCTCAGCACACATTACAAATCACTAAAAATAATTAGTGGGAAAATGAATCGGCACTGAGATTCCCCAGTTTCATTACTTAATGCAAGACAAGAAAATGAGGCAGATATTATGTTTATGTTATGTTTTCTTGTGTTTTGCTGTAAATTAATCCCTAAACTGTCCATTGTGTAAACTACTGGGAGTCCACAGACAGATGTCATTCACTGTATAGAATTTATATTAAGTCAGTTAAAGGTCCACACCAGCACAATAACTAGACTGTCCTGAGTCAGCCTTCTTATTGAAAAGCAAACAGTAACACAACATTTCAAGAATTCAGTGGTTCACAGCTAGATGTACTAGAGTGAATAAGTGTCTAATGGTTTGGATCTCTTAACTGAAAATCAAATCAGGAATCTTAGTGTCTCTAGAGTCAGACCGTAGTTTCAGTTTCAGTAGTCATGTCAAAGCAATAACTAAATCAGCATACTATCATCTGTAAAATATTTCAAGAAGAATTAGATGCTTTGTTGTGTTGTGTAAAACACTTCTGTTCAGCTGTGCATTTACCGAATGAGCACTGTGCCACTGTTCGTCCGACTGATTGTACTGTGCTTTATTTTTTAATTCTAAACTGTTTTAACTATTATTATTTCTTTTGATTATTTTAATTTCTTCTATGTAAAGCACTTTGAATTACCATTGTGTATGAAATGTGCTATATAAATAAACTTGCCCTGATCTCTGGTCAGCTTTTCTGGTCAGGTTATTTTTTTATTAATTGTAATACTCATGCAGGTATAATATAGTAAAGGATGATATTGACCTAATTTCGCAAGCCCTGCCCAATAACAAAAAACAAGCACAACTAAAAATGATTTGCTTATGGTTTTTAAAAGGTGTCATTACTCATTTCTGGGCAAAGATATTATTTTGATCAGCAGGTGCCGCCAGCCTGCGGTGTTTTGAGTACAATTTACAGAGCAATTGGTTCAGAGTTTTAAAAGTCTGTTTCTCCCATTTTCAGCATCATTACTCCAGTCTTCAGTGTCACATGATCCTTCAGAAATCATTCTATTATGCTGATTTGTGGCTCAAGAAACATTTGATTATTATTGAAAATGGCTGTGCCGCGAAATAACTTTTCAGGATTCTTTGAATAAAAATGTTAAAACAGTATTTGCTTTTTATTTTTCTAACATTATAAATGTTGACTCACTTTTAATCAACTTAATAGGTTCTAAAAACTGGCCTCAGCCTGAACAATAAGAGAACATATTGAAAGAAAATGAAAGGACGAGCAGAATGCAACAAGTAAAACACTGCCATTTAATAAAAAAAGCTCCAGGTTCAATGTCTGGGAACCAGACTCTGGGTGCAATGCTTCAGAAGACATAATTTGATTTTTAAAAAAAAAAACCTGCATACTTACAAATTCACCAAAGTCGACCATCTCGGAGAAGAGGGAATAAAAGTAAAAAGGATGAAGTGGAAGAGAAAGGAGATAAATAAAATAACCTTTCTAATCACTTCTTACCTTGTATTGTGAAGTACAAAGCTAACTGGCACAGCTAAGCAAGTCACATCAAATAAAAACATACTTTTCATATCTTTTCAAAGACTTTTTCCTTTGAATGGCGTGTGTGTTCCTCTATTCAGCCATTAAACACCCTGAACTGTTCCCAAAGGTCTCTAAAAGCAGGCCTGTGTGTAACTGGCATGTCAGCGAAGTCGCATGTATCTGAGTGTTATTTCTTTGCAAAGGAGATTTTCATTGCATTGCTCTGCGTGATCTTAAAGCCTTGCAGCGCTTCTCTGGCTGCACCCGCCTGCACCTCATTATCAAACTCCACAAAGGCGATGTCGTGGCGGCCGGGGACGAGACGGACTTCTTTGAATCCAGGGAACCTATGAGAAGCAAGCAACGTTGTAATTAGCAAAAGATTATGCATTTTAAAAATGACAGTTTTGGACAGAGAGGTGGATTTGCAAACCAGGGGCGGATCTACAGGGGGGCAAGGGGGGGCAGGTGCCCCCCCACTCTAGAGCCTTGCCCCCCCAGCTGCCCCCCTAACTTTAGTAAAACTATAGGCTACTTGTAAAAACAACCCGCAAGCTTCTCAAAACAGTGAACTAAACGATACATTTAGCAAAAGTGACTCCCCCCTGCCCCTCAAATAGTACGTCCCTGATTCAAAAGTGCAGAGCGGCGTTCGCGCTCAGTCTGGTTTACACACACAGCGAGTCTGTTGCGGTGCGCTGGCCCTGCAACCCGACTGGAGAGAGTGAGCTGCCCCCGAGCCTCTGAAGGTGAAGTGAGTTTCCCCCAGGTGTAGTTAAACACACGTTTAACTTAAAGTTACATTTGTAATGAATTTATTGTATGCCAAAGACTATTCAGTATCAGCAAAAACAGCGAGTCTGTTACGTTAGCCTAAATCAGCGGTCAAATCGCTTCCTTGTGATTTGTAAGAGCACTCTTCCCTTTGATTAGCCTAATTTTGATTTTAGTAAAGACAAGAACAGCTTAATAAAAAATATAAATTGTTTGTATCCATAACGTTTACTGATGGTCGCCGTTACGCCGACGTTACGTTACAACACACAATACAGTGCCAGTTAGGAGATCGATCATTTGATTAGCTAAGCAAATCCAATTCCTCTCAGGTATCACAGCAATGAAACCAGTCTTACAACTGGGGAAATAACAAATACAATTAGGATTATTATATTAAGTACTCTAAACATAACTGGTCTGTGTGTATGTGATAAATCTGTCTGATTTTATATTTGTTATATAGGCTACTTATTAGCTACATGGCCCTACAGTGTAATGTAATACAAGGATAACCAGAGGTTTTCACATATTGACTTTTGCAGGCAAGAGTAGTTGAAGAAAGTAGCTGGAGCCTAACCATTAAAAGTCCTTGGACACAATTATTGGTCTTTTTTATATTTTCATTTTGCTTTTTATACTTGGTAACACTTTACTTGAAGGGGTGTGCATAAGACTGACATGACACCTTCATAATCATGACATGACACATGGCATGAATGTGAAGTAGGGTTTATGCATGTTTATAACAACTGTCATTAAGTGTCTTTCGCTCAATTATGACATTTTGAATGCAAATATGACATTGTTTAAGATGTCTTTGTTGTGACATCTTGACATAAACCAATACATCATAACCTGTCAGTGTCTTTGTCATGACAACTTGACATTAAATTAAGTTAAACTGTCATGTTGGTTTTGACATTGGCTGTCATAAGGCCATTATAACTGTGTCATGAATATTTTTCTTGACCTCGACTACAGTGGTACAAATTGAATTTGTCATTAAAAAGTTATAATGGCCTCATGACAGCCAATGTCAAAACCAACCACCTGACAGTTTAATGTAATGTTAACCCATAAAGTGGTTTCTTAAGTTTGATAATTAATCTGCTATGTCCTGTTTATGACAGGTTGTGTTGTCTTAGTAATGTCAAGTTGTCATGACAAAGACACTGACAGGTTATGATGATGTATTGGTTTATGTCAAGGTGTCATAACAAAGACATCTCAAACAATGTCATATTTGCATTAAAAATTTCATAATTGAGCGAATGACACTTAATGACAGTTGTTATAAACATGCATAAAACTTCCTTCATATTCATAACATGTGCCATGTCATGATTATGAAGGTGTCATGTTAGTCTTATGCACGCCCCTTCAAGTAAAGTGTTACCCTAAAAACCTTTGTAGTGTGTAAGGGCATGATTAAACTAACTACTGTGTTTTTGTGTTTGTAAGGGATTCCCACTGTCTACCCTGCCACCCTGCCAAGACCTCTTGCCACCCCTTTGCCCCCCCATGTAAAATTTTCTAGATCCGCCACTGTTGCAAACAAATACTCACTGGTTGAACAGCATGGACAGCATGAGCTCGTTGGTCTCCTCTGGGAGATTGGTGAGAAACAGGATGTGGTTGGGAGGGTTTTCCGACAGCTACAAACAAAATGAACCATTAATGATGAAGTCACAAACCAAGCATGTGTCTTTAATCTGATTTGAATGCATACCTGCTGTGGCATCTGGCCAGGCATTTGTCCTGGCATCATCTGACCTGGTGGCATGGCACCGGGTGGCATCTGTCCGGGTGCCATGCCAGGCGGAGGCATCATGCCAGGCGGAGGCATGTAGGGAGGCTGACCGGGCATTGGCATCATGCGAGGAGCTTGGCTCATGGGCGGCATTCCCTGTAAATGACAAAAATAAAATAAATTCATTAACAGCCTTAAAATAGGCCACAATGGAACAAACACAGCAATTCCCAAATATACTAACAGCCATAGCTGCAGGAACCCCGGCCATAGCAGGCGTGGCAGCGGACGCCCCCTTCTTCCCAGCACCGACTTCAGGGACTTTAGGCTTTTTCTTCTCTTTCTTTCGGTCTCGCTCCACATATGTGCCCTTCATTTTCGCAATGATATCAGAGTCCAGCTTTGAATACTGAATACGCTGTGAATAGAACGATTTTAAAAGCATTTTAGTACAGAATGTGGTTTAAAGACATCAATTACTTCAAAATATTTCAGTAAGATTATGTTTTCGAAAGAAGTCTCTTCTGCTCACCAATGCATTTATTTGATCAAAAAGACAGTAAAATAGTAAATGTTGAGAAATATTACTACAATTAAAAATAAGAGTTCTCTTTATGCATGCATTTTTAAACTGTAATTTATTCCAGTGATCAAAAGCTGTATTTTCAGCATCATTACTCCAGTCTTCAGTGTCACATGATCCTTCAGAAATCACAGTTATGCTGCTTTATATTTTTGTGGAAAACCAATCCTTTTACCCCCAGGATTCCTTGAATAGCAAGTTAAAAAAAACAGCATTTATTTGAAAAAATAAATCTTTACTCTCACTTTTGATCAATTGTATGCATCCTTGCTGAAAAAAATCCACTTATCTCCAAACTTTTGAACAGTAGGGTAACACTACCGCTGAAAGGTTTGAGAAGGGGAAAAAACCCCGGTTCACACGAGTAAAACGATTTACAAACACATAGTAGATCATCATACCATGGGTTTATCATAAAAAGGGAAGCCTTGCATAGAGCGGAGTGCATTGGAAGCACTGTTGATCTCCTTGAAGATCACAAAGGCCTGACCCCTCATTTTCAGGGTAGGAGAAACAAGGATGTCCAGGATTTGTCCAAACTGGGAGAATATAGCGTACAACGACTTTTTCAGTTCTGTTAAAAACAAGAGAAAAGGGTTGCAGCATGAACAATGTGCAAAAATCAATTCCATTGCCAAATAAAAAAACTAGAAAGATATTTTATTAAAAAATAATCAGATAAACAATACCATACCATCTTTTTTGATCTTCTCATTCAAGTTGTTAATGTAAATAGTGTGGTTCAGCCTCATCTCCTGGCCAGCCATGATTCTGAAATGATAAACACATAATAAACGCTATGAAACGAATGAAGCTTCAACATGCGTCCGTCCAAAATCTAGAATGTGTAGGGGAAAAAAGAGCTTAATGAGCACATGGCAAAAGATGGAAGTAGTTTCTGATTCGGTAAAAGTCCTAAAGATGAAAGAAATCCATAGGCTATTATTAATTTATTATTGCACGTTGTAAAACAGTGAATGACTGACCTAACGTTACCTCGTTGTTTAAAAGGAAGCTAGTGAGTTAGCATGTCAACTAATCAGACAAAGAATAAAAATTTCCACCAGTGGAAAACACGTATTTTTATATAATAAGTTAAAAGGCTAATAAGAACCCAAAAAAATACGCATTAGATCAATTTACTCACAATTATTTGACGAGCTCCAGCCGAGAGAGCCGACTACAAACCTGAATGAAAATCCACACGGAAAAAAAGAGCGCACAACTTCCGCCTGGAAAACCGCCTTCTCGAAAATATATGGGATTCGATTGGACAGCTGGTCTCACAGCGAGCCTGTCGATTGGTTGTCTACTGAGCACATCCGACTTCAACACACATTCTGATTGGATACTTTTGGAGCGAGCGAGCCATTCTATAAACGGATTGGTTCGTTGATCGTGTTACGCTGCTTTCTGCTCGGGTGTCACGCCGTCGAATATATAACACGCCGCTTCTACTATTGACTTGTAACCATTTTGATTTGTTTAAGTAAAAATATATCGTATTTTTTTTAATCAATCGGGATATTTAGTATTTTTATTGTATTTTTGCATTCACGACCATGGCCGTATATTACCTTATTTGGTATCCCCTATGTAGAGAACACTACCCAGTTCACAGCAGATAGTGAAATAACTTAACTTAATGGACGCTGATGTGGATTCGTGTAATTTAATTTTGCGAATGCTTATATACTTACCTCGTGCACTCGTTGCAACATTGTTTTGATGTCGGTTTATTGGAAACAACATTGTAATGTATGTCTGTAACACCATACTGTCACAATACTCTCATACTGTCATTTGTTGTTCATTTACTAACTCTTCTGTTGCAGCAGCATGTCTGTGGAGAATGTTTCACCTCTTCCTCCTCCTCCTCCTCCTCCTCCTCCTCCTCCTCCTCCTCCTCCTCCTCCTCCTCCTCCTCCATCACTGGCTCCCTCAGTGTCCAGCAAGAAGAAGCTTTACCAGGCTTTATCAGAGGGAAGGGCCCCTGTAGAGGGGGACCATGAAGAGGCCAGGATTATTATAGGACAGAGAGAAAGCAGGTGAGCACAAATCACAGTTACATACTCTCAGAAAACCTTTTCTGTACAGTCATGATTTCATCGCAGCATTTCTTAATGAAGTTTTAGGAAGGATCTGCAATGGTTGCTGTTCAATAAGTATGTGCCTTCACTCATTCAAGATGGTCCACAGTAAGTTTCCATAAAAATACCTGTTAGTCGACTGATATGGATTTTTTGATGGTCGATGATGCCGATATCTTAAAAAGCAGGGTGCCTGAAAACTAAATATGGTTAAATATTTGTATTGTTCATATTATTTATTTATTTACAGAAATTAATAATTAAAAAATTAACCAATGTGAAAAAAAATAGTTTGAACTTAAAATAATTTTTTCATTTCAGTTTCATTCTTAAAGGGATAGTTCACCCAAAAATGAAAATTCTGTCATTACTTACTTTCCCTCATGTCGTTCCAAACCCATAAGACTTTCGTTCACAAATAAAGTTTTCGGAACACAAATAAAGATCTTTGTAATGAAATCTGAGAGCTTTCTGTCCCTTCATTGACAGCTACGCAACTACTTTAAAGCCCCAGAAAGGTAGTTAGACATCATTAAAGTAATCCATGTGGATTGCACAAATAAATAAATTGTTAAAAAAAATGAATATACTCAATAATATGGCAAATCTGTACACACTGGGAATAATTTGAGTTCATTTTACATATAGTACACATTGAATATCACATGAATATTCTGACACTTGTCGACCAAACGTATCGTCCGATGTCGATATTTTTAAAAAGCGAAATATCGACCACTAAAAATCCAGCCGTTTTCCTGTGTCTGTGAGTCAGTGCTCTGCTAGATGAGATGTGATTTCAGATGTGGTCTCGTGGCCTTATGGATGGCGGCTCATCTACTTCATCCTCCAGAGACGCTGGTCATGGAGACACTGGTCCAAGCCGCAAAACACAACGCCTACACTGAACAAGGAGAGATGTTTTCTGGTACTAACATCTGCTTTTAAATCGAAATGTACAACTGTAACTGTATTGCAGGTTGTTCTGCTGAGCTTTAACTGTAAATACCTCTAAATGCTATCATTTGTTATAATGGTAATTTTTTTTTTCTGCTTGGAATTAGCCAGTGACATGGCCAAGCTGGCGGAGGAAGTGTGTGGGTGCAGAGTTCAGAGGTTATCAGGAGGCATGATGGGAGAAAACACCGCTGTCATTCTGAAACACCTCGCTGGCGGACAGCCTGTTCTTATACCGTATCTTTACTGCTCTATATGTTTGATTGTTTTAGTTCTCTGTTTTCTGAAATAGTTTGTATTTTAATTTAATTACCACTAGGTTATTTTTTTAGTTTGAACACTTTTCTGAAATTATTTTATTTTATTTAAGTTTTTTTGTTTTACTCGCTGTTTTCTGATATTTTTATTTTATTTATCACTATATTTTGTTGTTGTTGATCATTGTTTTCTGAAATTATTTTATTTTACCACTAGGCCAAGTTTTTTGTTTTGCTCACTGTTTTCTGATATAATTATTATTATTTTTTTTTTTACCACTAGTTTATTTTTTGGTGGATCACTGTTTTCTGAAACTATTTTACTTTAGTTTAGCACTAGACCAAGTTTTATGTTTTGCTCACTGTTTTCTGATATAATTTTTATTTTATTTTATTTACCACTAGGTTTTATAATCACTGTGTTCTGAAATGATTCTGTTTTGTTTATTTTCATCACTAGGACATTGTTTTGTTTGATCACAGTTTCCTGAAATATAGTTTTTACATTTGTATTTCCTTTTGCCACTAACAGCCACATCTCTGACACTGTTGTTTACTAGTTTTAGAATACTCTAAACTGCCAACTATGAATGCAAGTGCTAACATAATCAAATACAATGACACAAAGACACTGCCTGATGAGTCACATACACATAAATAGACTGCACTCTTTCCCTGACTCCTCTGGCACAGATATGATGAGGATTTTAATCATGAACCCTGTCTACGCAACGGCCACAAAGCCCACTGGGCAGTCGTCTCAGGTGAGACTAAATAATCAAGACAATTAACAAACTCAGCAAGTTAGTTGAAGTTACAAAGTTATATAAGGGAATAACACTTCAATCTAATAATTTTTACCCCAGGTATATTACTAGGCTTAAGACAGGGGTGTGTGGACAGCAAACACTTCCCTCCTGACGTCACACTTCCCTGGCTCCATCTCTCTCAGAACGAGGCCTGTGTCTCTTGGCCGATGGAGGGCATTGAAGAGGTGTTTGTTCTGGCGAAGCAGGGGAAGAGTCTCCGTTACCAGCTGTGGAAGTTTGAGGTGCTTACACAGAGCAACAGCCAGCTCAAGGAACTGGACCCTCAGAGAGCCAGCGATGGGACGCGTTACGTGGTTCCTCTCGGAGGCGTTCAGGACGGTCTGGCAGGACAAGTGCTTTTGCTTCACACAAACACACAGATGAGCTGATCAAAAACACCAAAGACTCGTCGTCTTCACACTGGATGAGCTGTGTCTGGAGTTAGTTGCACACCTGTGTTTTCAGTCTTCATCCACTAGGTGTCCTTATAGATTAAATGTTTGTAAAGCTGCTAAGCTAAATATGAAGTGATGAAGTTACTTTATGCAAAAACTGATGCAGTAAAATGTAATTATATTACATGCTCATGGCTGTGTGATATAATTTGACACACATAATCTGCACACTTTATGAATAATGGGTGATCCTGGTAAAAAGTGTTTATGTTGGTAGACACTCCTCAGGAATTCACAATAAAGAAAGATATTTTTTTCAATACAATTATTTGTCGTTTGGTTTAAAGGGGTCATATGATGCTACTTTTAAAAGTAATTTTTTTTAGATTATAGGGTGTAATAGCATAGGTTAACATGCTTTAATTATTCACATACTGTACATTATTGCAGCTCCTCTTTTCCCAGTCTGTCTGAAACACGCTGATTTCTACAAAGCCCCTCCTTCTCAGAAGCTCAGAGTGCTCTGATTGGCCAGTTTACCCAGTGCGTTGTGATTAGCCAATCATCTCCAGCGTGTATCGGAAATGTAACGCCCCTTACTCGTGAGTTTCAGCTTCCAAGACTTCGGATTCTACAAATGAGATTTATACATCACACGAAAGCTGAATAAATAGGCTTTCCATTGATGTATGGTTTGTTAGGATTGGACAACATTTGGCCGAGATACAACTATTTGAAATCGGGAATCTGAGGGTGCAAAAAAATCTAGATATTGAGAAAATCGCCTTTAAAGGTTTCCATTTCTGTTGGCGATTGTTCTGCATCCACTTACAAAAAAATAAAAAAATTATATATTTAAGGTATGAAATGTACTAAATATCTTCATGGATCATGATCTTTACTTAATATCCTAATGATTTTTGGCATAAAAGAAAAATCGATCATTTTGACCCATACAGTGTTTTGTTGGCTATTGCCACAAATATACCCGTGCGACTTAAGACTGGTTTTGTGGTCCAGGGTCACAATGTCACAAATTTTACAGGCTGCAGATGGTTTTAAGGACTAATCTGTCATTTATTGTGAGGTTAAGATGCTTCTCTTTTCTAATTGTGGTGTCTGCTAGGGCAAAACTTTGTGCAACGATTCTGTCGGTTTCGACAGCTGTATTTGTGAGGTAATCCTCTTGACTAATCTGAACATTCGGTTCCGTTCCCCTCAAACTGATCTGAGGATGCGAGTCATTTACTGACGACCATCAGTAATAGGACAAAGTGTTTATCTGTTCTGATGTCATTCAGGACACTTTAGTCATATGTTGTGCAACTCTAGGAAGAGCGGTTCTGAACAGGAAGTTATGACAGAGGAAAACATCACTTGGCAGGAATAGAACATTTACATTTAAAGTGAGCAGTATCCTTCCAATCTAAATAACTTCCTCTTGACTCACAAGAATGTTTTATTCAACATTCTTTTATTCAAGATTTTTAATGTTTTGGAAGGTGGCTCTCATGCTCACCATGTGAAATATTATTACAATTTAAATGCATTGTTTCAATATCTGTAGAAGTGTATTATTTTCAGCATCATTACTCCAGTCTTCAGTGTCACATGATCCTTCAGAAATCATTCTAATATGCTGATTTGCAGCTCAAGATACATTCATGATTATTATCAATGTACCAAAACAGTTGTGCTGCTTATTTTTGTGGAAACTATCATCATTTTTTCCAGAAAAAATATTCTTTGATTAATTAAAAACTCAAAATAACAGCATTTATTTAAACTATTACCCTTTGTAACAATGTATTGACTGTCATTTTAGATCAATTTAATGTATCCTTGCTAATAAAAGTTATTTCTTAAAAAAAAACATACTCAGCCCAGTCCATAATGTAGAGTATTGATGATCTTTAAATAATGGTGAATCAGAAAGTGAACAGGTGAAAAAGTGTATTAAACAAGAATGGTTCCAGTTTATTGTATTGGCTTTCAAGACAACAATGATTGAAGGAGATGCGAGAACAAATGCTCCGCATGTCCCTATTGCAATTAAACTGCCGTCTCAAACTATTAAATGGGCTGAGACGACTCGAAGAGGCAGCGCACCATCCAGTTCTCTTTCCAATTTAAAACAGGTCATCTTAAACACCCTGTATGGTAGAAGGAAACCAATTTCAACACATTGAACAATACATAATACTTTACATAATCTGTAAACAAGGCAGTGGATCTCCAGAGGAACGTGGTGTGACAGATGGGGAAATACTGACAGAAGGAATGCTGACAGACCGTGTGCAGGCCCGTTCAGGGTGGAAAATACAATCTCTGGTGCTGTAAGATAAACACACACACACACAGTGGTAGAACATCCCGTTCCGTAAACGAACATAATCAAGGTGAGGTAATCACTTTAACACAATGTTTGTGATCTTGAAAAGGATATTACCTGATTATGTTCAAATATACAGCCTGAAGCAAACATGAAGTGATGATGGAAAAAGTTTGGTGTCTGTCTTTTTAAAGCTGACCACAGCACCTAATTTGAGAACTAATGACACCAGTGGCCAGAACACATTTAATCTGATTATGTGCAGCAAAAAAGTTTCCACCACAGTTTGCAAGATCAGCCATCTCAGGATGACAATCTGTCAGATTTGATATTCATGCATGCGATGTGTCATGAACACTACGAAGCTGAACTTAATGATGTGGAAAGAGCTGAAGGTCGGAAGTCATTCTGGTGTGGGTCCCAGTACAAAAGGTCCAAAAATATTCTATTTGTATTTAAAGAAAAAAATTAAATCAGGTTAATGGTTGTTGGGGGCAGATAAAGGAGGTTGACTTCTCAAACCCCTTTTAGGCTAACCTAGAAACTGAACTATATGACTAACAGGTCAGCCTTAAAAACGAATTAACCAAGAGTGAACAAATGGATCAAACCATTCCATCAACACGTGTATATAAATATCTATACTTGTTAGCTTGTTGTGCATCTTTGTGACTGTGGCTATTTTTAAGAAACACTGCATCTAATTCTGATCAGTAAAGAAGAAGAAGAAGAAACACAATCTTGGTAGATTCCATCTAAACAACAATGTGGGCGGTTAGTCGAGTGCAAAAATGTTTGTGACTAACTCTACTACTTCACCTCTGACCGAGCCAATCTGTTAATGGTTTTGAACTAATTAAAGTTCTTCTGAACTGTTTAAATGGTTACATGATTGGAATATTATACACCATTAAGATTAGGGGGGGGGGGGGGGGGGGGGGTCTGCCTGTATCACCTTTCGGAAATAAACGAGGTACTAGTTAGATTATGGAACTAAAATCAGAGAAAGAAAAAAAAAATTATAAAAAAAAAAATGAAGTAAAATAAAAATTAAATAAGCACTATTTACATAACTGTGAAGCCCCTAAGATAAATTTACAAGGAAAAAAAAAAGTTTAGAAAAAACAAATAAACCAAAGCACATTCTAGTGTAATAGTGTTATCATCATACCTGTGGGTAAAAAAAAGAGAAAAGGAGACATAAAAAGAATAATCATGGTTTGTGCGCCCTGATAGTTTCTTCTCATCTGTTGCTCCTCACTGTCTGTTTGCTTTCAGTGTCAGTGTATCTCGACTGTTGTGGAGCTGTGTATCTGCAGGACCACATGACTAAAAAAGGAATGAGGAACGTGAGCTTGTGGAGCACCGAGTCAACAAAATCAGCTTGAGTTTTTCCGCTTTCTGTCACTCCCTCAGCACAAGAGCGCTCTTCTCAGGACTGATTTCCTATTATCCATCATCACGCGATCCTTCGGGCTGAAGCATGTTGGGTGCATCCATCAGGGTGAGGCAGGAGTCGAGTCCTGCAACATGTCACCAAAGATCTGAATGAGGTTGTCCAGACCCCACAGGTACCCGTCCTCCCGGTTTCCTTCGGCCCAGGGCGTCCGGTGGTCCAGGGTTTGGGGTGCTGGCAGTGGGACGGTCTTACCAAAGTCAATCATCCAGACTCGGGCCAGGCCTGAAGCATCGTGCACGAACAGCAAAGAATTCCCAACCACCTGGAGAGAAACTTATGAGTCATGATTTGTTTTGTTCAAGAGAAGACAATGATTTGGCCCAGGCAGGAAAGGATTTCACAACATGTACAGATTCCTCACCTCGTGTGTCCTGAAAAACCCTGACGTCTCTAGAGCACCGCGCAGCTCCGCCAGTCTCTGAAGATAACTCCTCTGCAGAAACAGAAGCACACACAGCTCTAGTTATACAGTACCACATCTCCTGGATTCTGATGGGTGAATACAGCCTTCCAGCTGTGCAAAAATACACAACAGCAATATTGTAGGAAACACCTATTAAAGGGGCAGTAAGCGATTGCTGCTGAGAGATGGCTGAGAGACATTACAAAAGTGAAAAGCTCAGAGGAATATCACTGGACAAAGAAGGCTTAGGATCAGGCTAGAGCTGTTTCATTTGATATTAGAAAAGCCTTCCAGCGCTGGAGAAACCTCGCTTTTTATTTTTCACAAAGCTTTATTTTGTTTCACTTCAGCTATGATAAAGAGACGTCCACTCTTGGATATATAATGTATATAATTGAGATCATTAATCTGCGCATGCGCGTGCGGTGTTTGTTTGTGTTTAGAGCTCCGTCGAATTGATTAATTAATCCTTGATTTTCTTCTTTACCACTCATTTATTAACAAGCACTTTCTATTTTTATATCGTGTGAACCTATCCTCGATACTATTCCCTATAAAAAACAATCGGATTGCTTTGATATCGCTACTTAGATCCAACTTTGCGAATCTCGGCTACTAGCCTTTAGCCCGCTAGCATTTCACGCGTGGGCTCGCGCCTATCGAGCGTCTGATTTTACACCCGTTTCACTGAAAGGATACAGGTTATATCCAGCATTCCAGTCCTAAATTAGTTGTGATATTGGTAGTATCACTACTAATTTACTGTTCATCTGTTATAATGGCGAACATATCGGATGTGTGTCTAACGTTACCTCTGAGTGCAGGTGAGGACACATTCGAGCTGATGTCGGTACGATTGGAACTGGAATCGGTGGAGAAACAGGTCCGTGGTCTGCTGGAGAGGCAAGCCGAGCTGCGGGATCGGCGATCAGCGCTTGAAACGTCACGCGCCGATGCACACAAGTCAGTGGTTAGTAACTTTTTGACTCCGACTTCCTCTACTCCGTGCGTTTCTCTGCCCAGGAGGACGCGATCATCTCTGGCTTCATTCACTCCGGCACCGACACAGCACCATGGACCCTGGGTGATCCCACAGCGGAAGACACGAGCCAGGACCAGAGCAAGAACCTCTCCGCCCCTCCCGGTCTTCGAGATCTCCACTCGGAACTGCTTCTCCCCTCTTCGCGAGTCGGAACGCGACAACGCCGTGATCATCGGCACTTCCATGGTCCGTCATGTCCGTGCTACCTCAGGTAAGGGTAAGGTGCGCACTCACTGCTTTCCTGGTGCTCGTGTTCTTGATGTCGCCGCACAGGTTCCCGAGATCCTGAACGGTGACGAGCGCGTCGGAGCCGTTGTCCTCCATGCGGGAACGAACGACATCAGGCTGCGGCAGACGGAGGTTCTGAAGAAGGACTACAGGAGCCTGATCGAGACGGTACGCAGCACAGCGCCTGAGGCAACGATCATCGTGTCTGGACCGCTTCCCACGTACCGACTAGGACAAGAAAGGTTCAGTAGACTATTTGCTCTAAATGAATGGTTAATGTCATGGTGTAATGAACAGAAACTGCTCTTTGTAAATAATTGGAATCTGTTCTGGGAGCGACCTAGGCTCTACCGTGCTGATGGCCTGCACCCCAGCAGAATCGGAGCGGCTGTTCTGTCGGACAACATCTCCAAGACGTTGCACACCATCTGACTAGTAAGTCAAAGTCCAATTCACAGTCTTTGCTGTCCCAACTTAATTGATATAAGTAGTGTAGAACATTATATAGAAACTGTGTCTATTCCTCGTCTAGTGAGGCCAAACAATAAATCTAGTGTAGGATCTAGGAAAAATCTTATTGTAATTAAACCAGAAAATCTAAATATCAGTGAACAAAAACAATTTCTAAAACTAGGTCTTCTAAACATTAGATCGCTCACACCTAAGGCGGTTATTGTAAATGAAATGGTCACAGATAATAGCTTCGATGTACTTTGCCTTACCGAAACCTGGCTTAAACCAAACGAGTATTTCGGTCTAAATGAGTCTACTCCGCCAGGATACTGTTATAAGCATGAGCCCCGTCTGATCGGTCGTGGCGGCGGTGTTGCAACAATCTATAGAGATATTCTTAATGTTACTCAGGAAACAGGTCACAGGTTTAATTCGTTTGAAGTACTTGTGCTAAACGTTACGCTCTTAGATGTAAGAAAGAAATCCCTATTATCTCTAGCCTTGGCTACTGTATATAGACCTCCAGGGCCCTACACTGATTTCCTAAAAGAGTTTACAGACTTTCTCTCAGATCTATTGGTCAATGCTGATAAAGCAATAATTGTTGGAGATTTTAACATACACGTAGATAACACAAATGATGCGTTAGGGGCTGCGTTTAAAGATTTATTAAACTCCTTTGGGGTCAAGCAGAATGTCAGTGGTCCCACTCATCGTCTAAATCATACACTAGATTTAATTATATCATACGGAACCAATCTAACCGATATAGATATTATACCGCAAAGTGACGATCTCACTGATCATCACATGGTAACTTGTATAATACGTACTGCTGAAATTTGTCATGTTGCGCCGCGTTATAGACCAGGCAGAACAATCCTTCCAACCACTATAGATAGATTCTCAAATAGCTTACCTGATCTATCTCAGCTGCTCAGTGAACCCAAACAAACAGATGAACTAGAGGAAATGACTGGCAGTTTGAGCACCATTTTCTCTAGTACATTAGATATTGTTGCACCAATTAGATTAAAAAAGGTTAGAGAGAAAACTAAAGCACCATGGTACAATAGTACTACACATGCTATCAAGAGAGAAACTCGTAACTTAGAGCGTAAATGGAAACAAACTAATTTAGAGGTCTTTAGAATCGTGTGGAAAGACAGTATGTCACGTTATAAAAAGGCTCTAAAAGCTGCCAGGGCTGAGCATCTCCGCAAACTAATAGAAAATAACAAAAATAATCCAAGGTTTTTATTTAACTCCGTGGCTAGACTAACAAATAAACAGACATCGCCAGAGCAAAATATTCCGTTACAGTATAGTTGTAATGATTTTATGAATTACTTCAATGAGAAAATAGAAAGCATCCGAAATACAATTGTAAATGTACAATCCTCTATGGTGTCTTGTGATTCAGCCTCAATTATCGCCCCTCAAGAACAACTACACCGCTTTACAACTGTAGGACAGGAAGAGCTAAATAAACTTATCATTGCATCTAAACCAACAACATGTTTATTAGATCCAATACCCACTAAACTACTGAAAGAAGTGTTACCTGTAGTGGAAGAGCCTCTTCTCAATATTATTAACTCGTCTTTATTCTTAGGTCATGTTCCAAAAATATTCAAGCTGGCAGTTATAAAACCTCTTATTAAGAAACCGCAATTAGATCAAAATAACTTAGCAAATTACAGACCCATTTCAAATCTTCCATTTATGTCTAAAATACTAGAAAAAATTGTGTCCGCTCAATTGTGCTCTTTCTTGCAAGAAAATGAGATATATGAAAAATTTCAGTCAGGATTCAGACCGCATCATAGCACAGAAACTGCGCTAGTTAAAATTACAAATGATTTACTTTTAGCTTCTGACCAAGGCTGTATCTCAATATTAGTTCTACTCGATCTTAGTGCTGCGTTTGACACTATAGATCACAAAATACTCTTGGATCGACTACAAAACTACACTGGTGTTCAGGGACAGGCATTAAGCTGGTTCAGATCGTACTTATCGGACCGTTACCATTTTGTTTGTTTAAATGGGGAAAAATCGAAGATAACGTCAGTAGACTATGGAGTGCCGCAAGGATCGGTGTTAGGCCCTCTGCTATTCTCAATATATATGCTGCCACTTGGTAATATTATAAGAAAACATGGAAATAATTTCCACTGCTATGCTGATGACACTCAATTATATATTTCATCACGACCAGATGAAAACACTAACTTATCTAAATTGACAGAATGTCTTAAAGATATAAAATGCTGGATGACGTGTTATTTCCTGCTATTAAATCCAGATAAAACGGAGGTATTACTTATTGGTCCAAAAAACTACCCACAAAATCTCTTACAATACAACTTTAATTTAGAAGGATGTCCTGTTACCTTATCGACTACAGTAAAAGACCAAAGAAAGGGTGTTATACTAGACCGCAACTTGTCTTTCGAAAATCATATTTCATATGTTACAAGAACTGCCTTTTTCCACCTTAGAAACATTGCTAAATTACGTAACATGCTATCCGTTTCTGATGCAGAAAAGTTAGTTCATGCATTCATGACCTCGAGACTAGATTACTGTAATGCTTTATTAGCTGGTTGTCCTGCATCCTCAATAAACAAGCTACAGTTAGTCCAAAATGCAGCCGCTAGAGTTCTTACTAGGTCAAGAAAATATGATCATATAACACCGATTCTATCATCTCTGCACTGGTTACCTATTAAGTTCCGTATCAATTACAAAGTACTACTACTGACCTATAAAGCCCTAAATGGTTTAGCTCCTGTGTATTTAATGGACCTTCTATCGCCCTACAATCCATCGCGTTCTTTAAGATCCCTAAATTCGAGGCTTCTGGTCATTCCTAGGATATCTAAGTCCACTAAAGGAGGGAGGGCGTTCTCACATTTAGCTCCTAAACTCTGGAATAGCCTTCCTGATATTGTTCGAGGCTCTGACTCGCTGTCCCAGTTTAAAACTAGATTAAAGACGCATCTCTTCAGCCAAGCATTCACATGATGCTTACCTTTTATACCACTGTTGAATCAGATCGAATGCATTAATATTATGAACAGCAGCTACGCTAATTATTTCCCATCTGCTTTTCTGCTGTTATCTCGGGACGCTAGTCCCGAGGTAAATAGCGTTCGTCAGCTCCAGTTTGTATCCAGCCTCTCACGGAGACTTCCGATGCCCCAACGCCTGCGATGAGACGACTCGACGCCTGTGAAGAGACGACTCAACGCCGGCGATATGTTATGCCCTAAATTAGTACATGATGACTAACTAACTATATTCTTCTATGTACATTTCTGAAATGCACTTTCTGTAAAGCTGCTTTGAAACAATATGTATTGTGAAAAGCGCTATACAAATAAATTTGAATTGAATTGAATTGAATAATGTGTTCGAGCATTTTGGGTGTGGATCAATGAGTTAAGTTTTAATTTTAAATATAAAGTGTTTCTCAGAAATCATTTACTGCTATAGTACAAATAAAAAAAAACATAAAAAGTTACAGTCTGAAACATACTATGGCAGAATTTGTTGATTATACTTTACTTTAAGGTGTCCTTGATACAGTTCAAGTACTGTGTAATATAAATTAACTACATGCATTACTATAGGTTTAGGATTAATGTTTGGTTTAGAGTTAGTTGCATGCAATTATACATAATTAACTGTTATTACCATAGCAAGTGCATGTGTAACTAAGACACGGTTGCACTTTATTTTACAGTCCTGTTCCGCATGTACATACTAATTGTTTAATAATAACTGGCTAATAACTAGGTAATAACCCTGAACCCATAAACCTGCAGTTTCCTCATATTACTCAGGACTTTCTTATGGTAAATATGCTGCAAGTAAGTGCACATACTGTAAAATAAAGTGCAGCCAAAGACACTGTAAAAAAGTGTTATCAATTTATTACATATAAATTAACAAAACTGGAGGAATCTGAATGATCATTTTACTCATTTAGTCCCACTCTTGTTAAAAAAAGTGAATAACATTTTGTAATTTCCATCTCCTTATTTTTGTTTTATAAATACGTTTTGTACGTTTACATAAAAATATGTATGTAAGTTTTGAAAATGACAGCCATAACTTATAAAAAATTATTTGAACAAAAAAAAAAAAAAAAAAAAAAATAAAGCAATAAATATTAGTTCCTAATCCTATGTTTGTCCAGTGGAACGGGTATTTTAAATGGAAAAGAAAACTGTTTTTTTTTATATAGTAACAGAGTTGTTAATTAAATATTTAATGTAGTACTATATTGTAGTTGACAACATTAATAATGTAGCAGAGGCTCTTGTTATTCAGAAAAGCCTTTGTCATTGTCAGAACTGCCCTTCACAGAAATTCACTAAAAACCCCTCAGGAAGATATTTAGATAGACTGTTTTATTTATGTCAGCATCTAAGGCTATTTTCATGGCAAAAATTAAATTACAAAAAAAACAAATATCATATAAATACAATAAAACCAAGCAAACAAACACAAGTCATATTCTTTTTTTTTTTTTTTTAAATGAACATCATAAAAAAATCCTAAACCTTTTCAGGCATAATCTTACTAAATAAGTCCTTAAGTGAAATAACTTGTTCCCTCAGGAAGAAATCAACATTACAGATTAAAGGCTGTTGTTGTAGTTTGTTTTCTTTTGCATTTTCACAAATATAATACTAAAATAAATCATGAAAGCCATTGGCAAAAGCTAACGAATTAAAACCTTCAGTGCAGAGTTAAAACAGTGCAACCTTTCCATCGAAACAACATACCAGTAACTGTTTGTTTCCATCCACAAAGTCCACCAAGGCCTTCGTCACCTGCTCCTTATGTTTGGTTTTTTTAAAGCTGGTGTTGCATGTGCCATCTGCTTTCTAAAATGAAACACAAGGTTAATGACAAGCTGAGTTTTCAGCATCATCACTCCAGTCTGTAGCGTCACATGATCCTTCAGAAATCATTCTAATATGCTGACTTTGCTGATTTCTTATTATTATCAATGTTGTAGGGCTGGGAAAAAAATCGATTTGATTTAAAAATCGAGTTGGTAGGTCAAATCGATTAATATTTTCAAAAAAATCGATTTTTTAGATATTTTTTTCTCCCCATTATAAATAATTTGGAAGTTTAACAATCTTTGTTGCACACTGCACAGTGACTTTTCAGTTAGAGAAAGGGTTTGCCTTTGCAATTTTGTTTATGTGTTGATGCACTTTAATTAAATACAATAAATATAAATATTTAAAATATATTTACAGTTCGCAGTTATTTTGTTTTAAATGGAAGGGGGGGGGGGGGGGGGGTCTAATCGAATATCAAGTTTTTTATAATAATAATAAAATAACAGATTTTTTATAGAAATTTTTTTTTTTTAAAACAGTGTTGCTTAATATTTTTGTGGAAACCATTATACATTTTTTTCAGGATTCAGAATGAACAAAGCTCATCCTGAGTGACCAGATCAAGTAACATCTGTATTTTATCAGCTAAGCCCCCACCTTGATGCCCTCTATGCGGAAGCCGAGCGTGGCGGTTGAGCTCAGCGTCTCCCTCCACTGCATGTATCGAGGTTTGAGAACGGCCTGCTGGGCTCTCTCCTCTGGACTGGGCGCTCCCGGGTCCACAGCCACCATTTTCTCATACATGTCCTTCCTGAGACGAGGACGCTCACGGGCCTTTACCAGCTCTTCCTCCAGGTATGTCCTGTGGTAAAAGAAATGAAGCCATCAATCACACCATTCACAACCCTCGTTCATTTATGACGTCAACCTCGCCGAGCCTTCTAGTTTGTCTGGTTAGGGCTGGTTTGGAGTTGGGAGGTTTTAACAAATAAGCTTATTTGTATAATCTCATTAAACCTGAACTGATCTGTAGGGGTGTAACAAGATATCACATCACAATATATCGCAATACAAAAGTGTATCAATATGTATCGTGGATAGTAACAATATGTAGTGTGTGTAGTTTACCCAAAATGAAAATTTCTGTGTGAGTAAAAAAATTCAAGTTTTCAGAGTTTTAGTGTCAGTACTACATTAAACTACTATATATAATGTTGCATTGAATGTATAATAATGCAATGGGGTAATATTTGTGGGTCCTGATAATGCCAAATGTCTTATGTTACCAGTAAAAAGTGCTACATTATTTTAAATACATCTTGTCAGTGACAGAGTGCATATTCGCCTAAAATAATTGTGTATTTTCAGCTTTAGAATCATCAATATTGTTATTCTGGTGTCTCTATTGTCTTGTGCATTGGGTTACGAGCATCGAGTCCAAGACTATTCATTTCCACCCCCAATGCAATACCAAATTTAACATTTCAATAAACAGTCATTTTTTTGTTAAGCTTTTACCATATGTCTTGGAGTATCGCAATAATATCGTATCGTGAGTTCAGTATCGTGCAGGGATGTAGTGGAGGCTAAACGCACGTAAACGCCGTTTACGCACCTCCCAATTTTCGTAAATAGCGTTTACCCACCTCCAAAGTGCGTTTATCCACCTCTAAATTGCGTTTATCCACCTCTAAATAGCCTGTAGACATTTTAAATTAAGCTTATGTCGTTTTAGTTTCATATTGTTCATTATTAGTTTCATAGGTATATAAACCTAAGACGATTCTTTCATATTGCGCTGCATTACTGTCAGTGTTGTTGACTATTACTGACGGGTTGCGCTGTTGACGCTCGCGCAGCCTCTCGAGGAGAAATCTACACAAATGAGCGCACACACACTCAGTTAACAACATACTGCCTATTACATATCTAAATGTGGAGTTTTTATACTTTTAACATATGTTAAGCAACCTCAATTATTTTTCCTGAACACCATCACGATTGAAAATGTGACATTGATTTCCTACAACAGTTCAACAAACAGTTAAAATTAAGTCACTTACATTTTAGATGCAATATTGCCTGTTTTTGTTCTGTTTCAACGCGAAAATAGTTCGAAACAAAAATCACAGCAGAACCACGGCGCATCTCACAGGAACACTCAACCTGTTTTCATTACTGAATGATTCAGCATTTTGAACGAATCGATTGAGTCAAAGATTCAATGACCCATTCATAAACATCTGTCTCATTCTTGAATGAATCAGCCGTTTGAACAAATCGTTTGATTGAATGAATCAATGACTCACTCATTAAGACGGTCGCCTGCCGCCACCTACTGGCGGTTTAGTGTTATGTTTAAAAGTAGTATCATTCTTTCCAATGTTTCTTATATGTAAATTTAAATCAATTTCATTACATTATTTTATGCAATTGTAATTTTTCAGTGTAAATGATTTAATTTGATCAGCCCCTAGGGTAACAGCCCTATAGTGTCTTATTATTCGAAATAATTGAATTTATTGATCAAATTTAGGAATTTAAAAATGAAAGATGAAGCATACATTTAAAAATAGTGGGGGAGGGGATGCCCTTTAAAGGTGCAGATATTACAATATGCCGATTTAAATATCAAAGCTGATTGAACACTGATGAGAATATTGTTTCAGAATAAATTAACACACACACACACAAAAAAAAAAAATCCGGACGAGCAACTTTTTTACTCGGACAAGTGAATGACAGATTTACTTGTCCTAAGAACAAGCGTGTGAAAAGGCGTAATGAGCCCTCCCTATAGCAATGTCATCAGGACACACATACACCATTAGGCAGTGGCCCACCTTACCGGGTGACCACGTCGTGGTCCACCAGAATTTATAGTTTACCCACCTCTTTTTTTACCACTACACCTCTGGTATCGTGATATGTATCGAATCGTGACATGAGGGTGTCGTTACACATCTACTGATCTGTATTCTTTCCCCTAAGTGTCTCCTTCTCACCTGCTTCCCATCTTGCAATCCATGATTGAAGGGGAGTCAAAGTCGGTCAGCAGATCATCCATCATGTTGTAATCCTGGTCATTCTGCTGCACGACACCATAATAACCAGGTACAAATGGCCGGAGGTTGTCATTCATCAGCTTCTCCAGACACTGATGTTCACATTCACAATACTTCTTCAACAGTTTCCCATACTCGCCCGCCTGGAAACTACCTACACACAAAGAGGCAAAAACGGTGTTCATTTCATCAGTCCAAAATGATGGCTCCGATGCATTCATCTCCTCCATTCATTCAGCAATTAAAAATGAAAATGAGTTTTTACCTGCATGGCCTGCGAGCTGAATCCAAGGATATCGTTTCTTAAAGGAAACCACAAATGGAGAGCAATGCACCATGGTCTTCAACTTCCTCCACGATTTGGCCTGAAATCAAAGATTGCATATGCTCAGATCATAGAAATCATTTTCTCCTCATCCCACTTCAACCACATCTGTTTTCTCTAAACTAACATTTGGTGTAAGATTGCTCTGATTGGTCGGGCGCCGAGGTCTCTATAAAGGCCAATCAGATGACGCAAAACTCGCGAGACAATTTTATAATAATAATAACCTTTATTTTCTATTAAATGTACATCTCAAAGCACTGTACAAAAACAATTAAAACAACACACAAAGAGACATAATACACAGTAAAATAAAAATAAAAGACAATAAATCAATTAAAAGATAACTTAAAACATTTTTGTTTTAGGCTGAGATTTAAAAACACCAAAAGATTTGGCTCGCCTGATCTCAATCAGTAGATAATTCCAAAGTTTTGGAGCTAATGAAGAAAAAGCCCTATCTCCCATTAATCTCAAACGAGTTGAGGGAACCGTTAAAAGACCAGTTTCCGAAGAACCAAGATCACGTTTTGGAGTGTATGGAGTTAAAAGCTCGGTCAAATATTGAGGTGCCAAACCATGCAGTGCCTTGTAGGTAAGCATCAAAATTTTGAAGTCCACCCTAAACCTAATGGGAAGCCAGTGCAAAGACTTTAAAACGGGAGTAATATGGTCTCGTATGTTTGTTCTAGTAAGGATTCTGGCAGCCGAATTTTGCAAAACCTGCATTCTGTTTAAGGTAACTTTTGACACGCCAGCTAACAAGGCATTACAGTAATCAATATGTGAAAACACAAAAGTGTTTATCAATCTCTCAGCAACAGTAAACGACAGCATTGGAAAGAAATCAATTTTGACTGGTCTGGCAGTTCTACCAGGTGTCTGAATTATATAATAAAATATTTATTCAGAGACACTGCAAAGACAGCAGCCATACAGCAAGAAACCAGCGCTGTGATTCTAGTGCATTTCTTTCCCTCACAACGGTGTGCTTTCGTTCCTCCTTAAAAGCCCAAACTTAACGTCCAAATCAGCTTGATCAGTGACTGCCGTAAAATACTAGCCTGACTTCGTCATAATCATATTCTAGTCAGAATGTGAGTCTGATATAGTCTGGGTCAGGGCTGGACTGGGACAAAAAATCGGCCCGGGCATTATGGCCCAGACTGGCCCACTATATAACACAACCGAACTTTGCACGCCCTTGAATATGTATACCAACTATTAAAACCACTAATGCCATAAGTGAATAGGAGTGAGTAAGAGTTAACCAATGAAATTAACTACTAAGTTGAACTATACTCCACAGTGATTAATCCTAAAGAAAGCTATAAGCTGGGATAGCAATACCGGTTTTTCCCACAGGATTTTGGGAAATCTGTGGTGAGTGCACCTCTGTCCCTCTAGGGGGGTTCGGGGGCATGCTCCCCCGTAAGAAAATTTTGTGCTTTTTAATGTTAAATTCATCAATCTGGTGCACTTTGAGAGTTAAAAATAAAGAGCTCCAACCCATATTCAGTGTGCAAATTGAACAAAGAAAAACTCAAAACTCTTTTAGTTGTGATATAGTGTCTGTCTACATTACACTACTACATAATAATAGTTATAATATTAATCCCATGGCAGTAATAGCCATAGGTTGTAAAACAAATGCACTGAAAAATAAAAGCAACTTTCATAATTAGTTTCGTACTAATTTCTATACAGAGATAAGCACATGATCTTTTATTTTGACGGAAACGGCATCGAGCTTTTATTTTGAAGAAAAATATGGCTTACAAACTCATTACTCATTATTGTCTCATTACAATTCTAATAGAGGGTATGCGCATGACGTCACCGTCGGCCGGAGTGAATGCGGTCACGCCCACAAGTGGCAAAAAGACTGAGCGCCAGCATTTGTTTTCAGCGTGAATGCCGTGAAAAACACACAAAACACATCTAAAACGGGAAAGAGCTTTGCGATTGACTGTACAACTAGATTTGACCAGAAATCTGAGGTACTGTATATTTTTACAGACTGCAAAAAGCTACAGACCAGACTATATTCTGCATAATTGGATGTTTTTAAATAAACACTGACAAAAAACTATACAAGTTTTAGGGCTGGATAACATTAATGTAAGTGATCACTCAGATTTAGACCTATCTATATTGTATTTATATAAAACGTTAACAGGCAAATTTTCTTCATTTATTTCCCCGGCGTCGAAATCAGGCACATATAAATGTCAGGAAACACGATTCCTGGCTGCATGTCAATATCCATGGATCACTGGATCTTTGATAAGTTGTAAGGAACACTATATCGAGTCCAACTTTTAGTTTAAACTGATAATAGTTTGTTTTACTCGCGTTAACGCAGTTTCCCCTATTAGCTCCAGTCACGCAGCAGCTCTTCTGCCACTCAGTCCCGCTGAGGGGGGCGTGTTCCGGCGGGGAAGTGACGTTAATGCATTCCCTCTATAAAATGCGTAATCGTCAAATATGCAGATGTGTAAATAATGCGTAACTGGGTAGTGGGTTCCTACATAGCCTAATGGTGTGTTCACACCGAACGCGAATTTAATTATTTGGGTGAGTAGATTACATACAAAGTCAATGCAAAGACGCGAGTAGACGCATCATTCGCGCCGGGCGTTGCGAATGACGCGAATTGGGCAACGCGTTTGCCGCAAATGTCTTCCGCGCAAGTTGAAAAATTTGAACTCGAGCGAATGTTCAAGCGTCTAACTAAACGCGATAGACGCGTATTTGACGCTCTATTCGTGTTCGGTGTGAACACACCATAAGTGTTGTTGTGACAGTAGCCTAGTTCTGCTTACCACAGTTCTCTGCACTCACTCATCTCTCTCCTTATCCTCCTCACTATCCTCATCATCAGACACTTGAAGGGCCTTTGAAGTGTCTTTTTTCACGCTATTTCTCTGCACATTCCTTGCGTTTCTTCTCCATCGCTCTGACTATTTTGACAGATACACACTGACACTGCTCGCTCACTCAGAGCTCAAAGGGGCAGGAGTTTAAAGATGTGATTGGACCAGCCCAGAGTCAATCAAGAAAATAACCAATGGGCCGCTGATCTACACGTTTCATCATGCGCCGGTCTGTGAGAAAAAGAAACACCTACGCTGACTTTTTTGTCCAATGCATTACACCGGCACAAAGATCCCAGAGCCGCCAATTAAACAAAACTAAACGCAATGGGCCGCCGATATACGAGTTTTATGGGCCGTTCAGACAAAAAAAAAAAAAAGAAGTATGAGATGTATCGGCCCACAAAGCACGTCGGCCCACCGGGCAAATGCCCGGTATGCCCGATGGCCAGTCCAGCCCTGGTCTGGGTTTCCCCATACTGCCTTCCCGCAGCGCGATTTTATTCACGCTGAAAGGCAGTATGGATACCATGGACCAAATGTTCGCCTCATTTAGGGAACCAATCACAGAACGGGGAGGGAGCAGCAAGACGATGACGCGTCTATGCGACACACCGAAGCAGTTTGTTTATACCTATGGATCAAACATGGCAGTAGACGCGAAGTTACCTTTCGAAGCAGCCTTACGGCCGCTTCACACATGGGTTACACACCGCAAGCGTGAGCGGCACTTGAGCAGCGCGTCAGCGTAACTACATCGTCACTGCAGCTGCAGACGCGCGAGAGTATTCACACTGGAAGTGTCACAGCAGCGGCTCCAAAGCTACATATCGTTAGCCTCATAGCATAATTGCTTAAGTCATTTTGTGTTTTTTCTTGTTTTCCAAAGACATTGAAATATGACTTCGGCATTATATATAAGCGAGCAATTCTTTACAAAGACAACTATACATTTGTTTTTAGAAGTTGGTCATTTTATAACATTGATAGTCTTGAAATTTTGTAATGGGGAGGTGTACAACATTCGCATATTAGTTAAATGTAATACAACAAAACAACCCAGAAAATGGCTCCAATCTATTAGTTTCAGTCATACTTTCGATGTTTACAAGACGCAACTCCGCGGATAAAAAACAAAACACACAAATAAACCACACACTCGGGTTTGATTTGGGTTGTGCTAGCCTGTAGCTGTCTGTGTGTTAATGTTACATGAACTAAAAGAACGTTTATATATAATATTTTCTGGCTAGTTTACTTTAGTTTTTTTTATTTATATAATACACAACTTTCACCCAAACTGAATAATTAAAAAAGTTTTTACCAGGTAAATCTTCTATAAATATTTTAGAGTCTTTTTTTTCTTTTATTTGCCTACTCAAGTTCTTGTTAAAACTTTTTGTGGCAATTTGTGTGAAATCACATTTATTTTTGTCCATCAAAAGTGTGCTTTCACTTTAATTTAGCGTGAGCAATGCAGCAAAAAACAGATTCGAAACCCCCGCTTCACTGCTGTTCACGCGCCGCTCCTGCTCGACGCTCTCGCGCTGCTCCCGGTGTGAATGCACTCATTGCTTAACATGCACGCCGAAAAAAATACGCGCCGCTCACGCATGCGGTGTGAAACGGCCGCTAGATACACGCCATCGTGTAGGCTACACATAAATCTCTGACCCATCGGCCATCGTCGTCTCCCTCGTCTCATTTCTGTCGCTCTACATGCGTCATCTGGTATAATTGAAACGATTGGCTATGAGCTACGTACAGGCGCATTTGATAGACATTCTTAGCACCCAATAAACGGCTCTGGGCATTCGTAAACCACGCCTCAAATACGAGAAAATGAACATGTGGTTCCCAGACCCAAGTCTCAACGAGAATAGGCTTTATGCACAAGCTTCACTACTTCCTGAACTTCAGCCAGCCCTTTGTTTCCTGTCTGTCATTATTGGACAAACTGATTAATCCAGGTGTGCTTGATTATTGTTACTGAGGCCAGGCACACCTGGATTAATCAGTTTGTCCAATAATGACAGACAGGAAACAAAGGGCTGGCTGAAGTTCAGGAAGTAGTGAAGCTGTGGCATAAAGCCAATTGGGTCTGGCGTTAGCCAGGCTAAGTCTGATACTGCTCCATAGAGCTTTGATTATGAGGCGTGTCTTA